CGGCTCCTCAAACGCTCGCGGACGCGCGAGCACTAACCGGGCACTTCTCAATTTGTGTCCTCCACGCCCGTACTACTTGTATCCGAAACCTTGTATTCATACTGCCCATGCAACGTGAAGATAAATTACGTAGATCATTGTACAAACTATGAAACAGAGCTAGATATGCACACTCCGATCACCAAAAGATCACATACGGATCTCCAAAAGCTACTCAAAGTTCACATAATCCACATACTACGGACAAATTCTATCTAGAGACATAAATAACTAGAAATTAACTATGGAGACGATAGAGATTCACCACTTCCTTGCCGGCCCTTTCCCCTTTCGGTCGTCGGCGCGGCTGTAGACGTCGGCGGCTGGTAGAGGATCGTCCACGTCGTTGTTGGAGGTGTCAGAGAGGATGATGAGCCCTTTGAGCCGTCGGACGGCCCTGTCCTGCTGTCTCTTTAGCTTCGCGAGCCGAGCCGCCTCCGTCGATGCCTCCGCCGCCTCGCCCTCGGACTGCTCAATGGCAATCCGGAGTGCCTTCGCGTTCTTCCAGCGAAGCCGCCGAGCGTCCGTCTCCGCAGTCGTAAGCGACTGGCGGTAGACCCAAGCTAGGAGCAACTCGTCCTCATCGGACTCCGCCCGCATCCCGCGGCGGTGGCACACGGACTGCTCCACTGCCTACCTCTCCCTTTCTCGCTACCTCTTGCGATGGGCAGCAGGCGCCTCCGATTCCGATGTTTGCGTTCGGGCCAGCGGGGCGGGCACAAGCACCCACCGCTGCCCATGTGGGGGAGCACACTAGTAGAAAACAGGGCATACGTTCGGGCCAAATAAGCCCATTAGTCATGGTTCAGTCACGAACCGGGACTAATGTGAGCATTGGTCCTGGTTCGTGCGGCTAAAGGCATTAGTCCCGATTCAAATGAGCTCTTTAGTCCCGGTTTGAGACACGAACCGGGACTAAAGGGTGTGGTGCCCTTTAGTCCCGGTTCGTATCTACAAACTGGGACTAAAGATTAGACCCTTAGTCCCGGTTTGAGACACGTGTCGGGACTAAAGGGTGCAATGCCCTTTAGTCCCGGTTCGTATCTCAAACCGGG